TCTCACTCTGCCTCTGCCTGCCACTCTGCCTGCCTGTGCTCTCTGTCTCTGACAAACAAGTAAGTTAAAAAAAAAAAAAAAAAAAACTTCAAAAAAAAAAAGATCACAGGCCACAGGCCCCATCCTCTGACACTGGGGCAGAGTGGTGGCCCTTGGCCAGCTGCTGGACCGGCCCTGCCTGCCCCCAGCCCCACCCCTGCCCCCACCTTGGGGACTTCCAGTGACCGATCCATGGGAGACAGGACATGCGCACGCCCCATGTCGGCTGAGGCACCCACAGCCAAGCAGGCGGGGCAGCCCAGGACTCCTGGCCACGCCCACCCCTGCTTTCTCTTCTCCCTTCCCTCCCCCACCCTCATGGAGGACAGCCGCCCTGGCTCCATTCCCAGGACTGCTGAGCCACCGGAATGGAGCGGGCTGTGAGTCAGTCAGCAGGAAGGGACACTTACAGCCACTTGCATCAGACGTTCCTGCCGCATGGCCCCACAGCCAGAAGCCCCAGCTCGTGACCCCCCCACTTCTCTGGGGTGCTCCTGGAGCTTGGGGGTTCCTGTCCATGGAGGGCCTGACAGGAGGGAATATGTGGGGAGGGTACAGGCCAGGTGGGGCGCCACTTGTCCCTATGCCCACAGCCACCCTTGCTCCAAATGCCAGTCCTTACCCCAACACCGGGATCCTCCTTAGAAGTCGCACTGCGACCCCGGTCCTCCCACACCAGCTCAGGGCTTTAGGGCAGCCCTGAGTCCCTCTGTGAGTCAGGGGCCTGGCTCTGAGCAAAAGAGGGAGAGGCCCAGCCCTTCCCCCAAAGGCACTGGCTTGTGAGGGTACTGCAGAGGTCCCAGCACTGTCTATGCACCGCCCGCTCGGCCCCCAGCCCCACGCATGGGCCCCCGCTGCTCTCTCCTGTGTGTGCACACACCTCCACTCAGTTCCCACGTGTGCACAGGCTCTGCCCTACACAGATCCAGGCTCCACGCTTCTCCAAACATGCACAGACACACGTGCACGCCCAAATCTGGTCATACTCGCACGCACGTCAAACTGGGGCCTTGTGTTTAGTGTTGGGGGAGAAAGGTCTTTGCCATCACCTCCCATAGGGCTGTCAGGTAAAATACAGGACACCAGGTGCCATTCCAATTTCACGTAAACAATGAATAACTGTTTAGCTGTTTGGGATATACTTACGCCTTCACTGAAAAATATTCCTTGTTTAGCTGAGATTTCAAATGTAACTGGGTGTTCTGTAGTCTCTTGCCTCAATCTGGGAGCTCTTGTCTGCTGGGTCGTGGAGGCCTGAGCTTCCTGGATTCCCCCAGACACTGCCCAGGAGGTCAACACTGCACACCCAAGCCCCCCACACCCCAGGGCTCTGGCTGCTTAGCCAGGGGCCTGCCAGAAGGGACACCACCCATCACAGCCAGCTGGCCTCCTGGCTCAAAGGAGGCAGGGGGAAGCAGGGGCCCTAAGGGGGAGAAGTCAGGACCCGCCTGGTGTCTCCTCTGGGGTTTGGGGGAGTCCTGGGCCCTACCTGCCCTGTGCACTGGCTCTCTCTGTCCTTTGCCTTGGCTGGAATGGCTCCTCCCCTCCCTGTGCCCCACTGATGATCGCCAGGAGCTGGGTAGGTGTGAGGGGCGGGGCCCCGACCTGGTCTTCCGGCCTCACTTGCCTGGCAGACCACCTCCCACCCCCCAGGGCAGGTCAGAGGAACCTGGGGTCCAAGGAGAGGTGGGCAGGATAGCTGGCAGATACCCCGAGCCCCCTTTCCCTCCCTGGCCCTTGGGCACCCAGCACTTCTGGGAGCTTGGCCTAGGAACAGGGCCTTCCTAGAGGAGGAAGACTGGCTCGCTGGGTCTGCGGCTGGCCCGCAGCAGGACAGGGCTCTGGTCTGTGAGCCCGCAGGCTGGGCCAGAGGTCCCTCCACTTCCCCATTCCCACTGGCAGCCCCCATCGCCCCCAGAGCAGGCCAGGCTGGGGTGGGCCTGGCTGCCTCTCCTTGCTCAGCCTAAGTCAGGCACTCACAGGCCCCTGTCCCAGGGTCAGACCCGGGGCTCAGACCTGGGGTCTCAGAACCCTCGGTGGGGTTGGAGGGGGAGGGTGGTCGGCCCTGACCTGCTCAGGGGATGTGTGTGTACTAACTGGGCACCCCGCTGTCAGCAATGGACACACACATGTGCGTGCTCCTCGAGCTGTGCAGAGAAGCCCGTGCCCGTGTGCACATCACACACGGCCCCACCGGTGCAGACAGGCCCTGTGCGCGCCACGATCCCCACCCGCGCCAGCTTTCACAGGAGGGTGTGCTCCCCTCGTGGTCCCCACCTGCTCACCCACAGGGTGAGCAGGGGTTACAGGACTCCGCTCACTGGGTGGGCAGAAGCAGGGGGTCCCTTGGGGGGTGTGAGCCTGCCCCCCCAAGCAGGAACACCGGGTGAGGTCCGGGGACATTTGTGGTTGTCATAACTGGGTGTGCTGGTGCATCAGGTCGGTGGGGGCCACAGTGCCCAGGACGGCCCCCACAGAGAATGACCGGCCCCTATGTCACTAGTCTGCGGAGGAAGCAGCTGTGCGGACTGTGTGCGGGTGAGGCAGCTTATCTGAACAGCGCCCAGAGCTGGGGACAAGCCTGCCCCCTCCCCCACCGGCCAGGCTCCAGGATCAGGACCCCAGGACCTGAGCTTGGCTGCCCTGGGAAGACGGGCCAAGGGCAGGCCTTCGTTCGTGTCTGTTCCCCGAGGTCCGTGTAAATGGCAACCCCCACAGGTCCGCACAGGAGGGTGAGCATGGCTAAACACCCACCTTGCGGTGTGGACCTCCTTCACTGCTGTGGATTGAATCGCGGTCCCCAGAACCCAACCCTTGGAACCTGTGAATGTGGCATCTGGACACGGGGCCTCGTTAGGTGGAATTCGTTAAGATGCGGTTGTATGGGAAGAGTGAGGGCAGAGTTCTCAAGCAAACAGCTGCCTGAAGGCGGGGGTGGGGACCCGGGCAAGGCCTCTGGGGGCCTAGGGACTGTGGCACTCTCGAGGACCGCCAGCCACCAGGGAAGCCGGGAGAAGCAGGAAGGATCCTCCCTGGGAACCTTCCAGGAGGGTGTGGCCCAGCCTAGACCTTGATTTCAGACTCCTGGTCTCCCGAATCTGAGAGCAGAAATTTCTGCTGTTTGAAGTCTCCTGGTGTGTGAGAAGTTAACACTCTTCAACCCCTGTACACGCAGACACAGACACACACCCCTCTGCACACACATGTGCACACACACTCAAACACACCCAGTCTTTTCAGCAGTATTCAGGAAGCACTTGCTGTATCCCAGGCCCTGTGCTGGGCTCTGGACGGCCCATGGACAGATCTGTGCTGTCATGGAGTTGAGCTTCTGAGGAAGGACAGTGGCCCTTCCGTACCCACCTGAGCCCGGCAGGGGACAGAGAGGGCCCTGGCCTGAGGGCAGGAGTGGGAGAGGACAGCTGGGAGAGGAGGGAGGGAGAATGAGGAGACTTCTCCCAGGCAAGCAGGTCTGACGGCCCCACCCCAGGCACCTGGAGCAGACCTGTATGTCTACACACACACACACACACACACACACACACACACACACTCAGGGGGCGGAGATGGGGCGGGGGTGGGGGGGGCTGGTGCTGGCTGAGGTCAGGTGTGGACTTGGCGGGGGCACATAGACGCTGCCCCACTAGAAGGGGACCATTCAGCTTCACGTCAGTGGGGCCTGGTTGGGGGACAACTAGGTATGGGAGGCAGAAAGCCTCTAGTAGGACAAGCAGCGTGGAGGACAGGGAGGTTGGTCCAGCCCACAAACGCGCACTTCCGTGTGCCCAGGGTACGGGGAGTCTGAGAGCTCTACAACACAGTGCTTTGGGGACAGGGAGCTGGCCTAGCTCAGGAAGGACTGATTCTACCCAAGTCTGGGTCAGGGCGGGGGTTGGGGGGCAACAAAAAAACCCCCTGTCCTGGCTGCCCCCACCCTTTGGGCTCTTTCTTGGTTCTGGGCCCCTGCTCTCTCTGAAACGTTCCTTTGCAGGACTGAAGGAAGGTCTTTCATAGATCTCAGTCCCCATCCCAGTGGTTCTCTTTCTCTGCCAACTACAGGGCAACCCCCTGGGGGGCTCCCTGGAGGAGGCAGCTGGGGCTCAAAGCCTTTTGGGGTGCACCAGCAGGATAGCCAGATCCAGGATCAGGGAGAGGCACCAGGGGGTCATGGCAGCTTGTAGGATCAATCAAGACAGAGCCACAGCACGTTCTGGGATTGGAAAGCTGCAAGAGAGAGCCATGTATGTTCTAGGAAAGGGAAGTCGCCCAAAGGAGTCAGTGTATCCCAGGCCCTGGCCGGCTTCCTGGGGGTATTGCCACAGCGCAGAGCGCGGCTCCAGCTCGGCGCCAGGGACCCACGGGCCTCCCAGGGCCGCAGGCAGCCCCTCCACTACCCACACCCCTGCCGGCAACGGTCAGCAACCCTCCGGATCCTTCCCCGCAAGCCCCGCGCACCTCACCGCGCAGGCGCGCGGACACCCCTCACTGCCCGAGTGCGCAGCCGCACTTGGCCCAAAGGCCCTCCAGCCCCGCCCCCGCTGAGCGCGTGTGGGAGGAGCGGGCGGGGGCGGGGCATGCGTGTGGGGCGGGGCGAAGCCTGGCCTATAAAGGCGGCGGCGGGGCGGCGCGCCCGGCTCCTCTCGGCGGCGGCGGCGGCAGCGGCCCAGGCGGAGGAGTCCGCGGTGGTGGCGGCGGTGGCGGCGCTGTTCCCCGCGCGGTCCGCGCAGCGGGCTCCGGGCTGCGTGTCTCGGGCGGCGGCGGCGGCAGTCCGACCCCGGCCCGAGCCCGACCCCGGTGAGTGCGGCCCAGCGACCCTGGCCCGGCCCCGACAGGGTCTCGGGGATCGGGCCCCGCGGAGCGTCGGCGGCCCGGGCTCCCGGCGCTCTGGCCGCAGCCACTCACGCTCTCCTTTGTCTGCTCCCGCCTGCAGGGTCCCTTCCCCGGCCGCCCCCCGCCCACGGGCCGCCCCCCCGGGCCCGCCGTCCCCTCCCCCGCTGGCGGGGCCCGGACAGAAGATGGTGCAGAAGAAAACAACCGAACTTCAGGGCTTCCACCGTTCGTTCAAGGTGAGGGCCGGGTGGGCTTGGGGTCGCCTGGGGCTGGACCGGTCTAGTGGCCGGTGGGGGGCGCGTAGCCCCCACCCAGGATCCCCCCAACTCTGGGGCTCGTGCCTGCCCTTCTCCCTGCGTCTGGGGCTGCCCCAACCGCGTGTGCACTGGTGGTGGGGGACGGTCAGTGGGCCACAGGCCAGGCCCCAGCACCTTGGGGACTGTGGGATCTTTCCTCCAAGAAACCCAAGTGGGGCGGGGGCCCGCAGCCCCTAGGGGCACCTGGCTGTTTGTCCCCTGCATACCCCAGCCAGGGAGCCTAGCAGGCCACAGTCCAGCTGTCTGGGTCCTCAGCCTGTGGGTCTGTGGGGTCTTTCCTCCAGGGATCTGAGGTAGGGCTTCAGGTCCCCAAAAGCCCTCCTAGGTGGTCTACCGAACGGGGGAGTGGATTGGCTGCTCCCCCAGCCCTGCACCTCCCAGACACTCCAGGCCCAAGTGCTATTTTCTGTGGGAACGGGAAGTTTCTGCGGTGGCCCCTGCAGCCGAGTCCTGGTCTCAGATGAGCAAGTTGGCGCGGGGTGGGGGGGCGGGCAGGTGCTGGGCTGGGGCCCCGCAGGGCTGGCTCAGGGGACGCAGTGATGTCAACGGCCGCCCCACCCCGCCAGCCGCGTTATGTAATGGCTTCCCTGGGCCTCCTTGGGCAGGGACCTGTTGCCCTGTAAAGAAGGCAGGACCTGGGTGTGTGTGCAGGCGTGCGCACGCGTGTGTATGTGTGTGTGTGTGTGTGTGTGTACACAGGCGCACGGCGCACAGGGGTGGGAGGAGCAAGCTGAGACTGTTTGGGTTAGAATTCCCAGGCCTGTCCAGCCAGCATCTCAGGCCAGCGTGCCCCACCCCTGCCCACACGCCTGTCATCTGTACGCTTCCCCCCCACACCCCAGGGCAGCAACAGCCTTGGCACATCCAGGTGTCCGGGGCTGGGCTGAAGGGGGGGGGGTGGACCTGATATGTCACTGGCAGTGGTCTGTCCCCTCCTGGTGCTGGCCAGTAGCTGAGACAGGGTCAATGTGAGGGGCCAGCACCGCGGCCAAAGCAAACTCGAACTTTCTGGATGGTTCCAGCTGCCTCCTGCCAAGGCCTGCTGACTGGAGGCCTGAGGCCCGCCCTAGGCCCAGCCCGCCCACACTGCTTGGGACCAGAGGCTTTGCCCAGGTGGGACGACAGGAGTGCTGAGGGGGTGGGAGGAGCACTGGACAGGGAGCCTCAGCTCTGAGATGGCCCTCCCGGCTACTCTAGGACTGTCGTCCCAGCATACTAAGGTTGCGCTATTGGGCTGGGGCCAGCTCCCTCCCCACCACTGTCCAGCAGCAGCTCAGCAGGGACAGGCTTCTGCCAGCCATCTCCCAACACACTTTCCCCATCGTAAGCTGGGAAATCAGAGGCCCGGAAAGAGCAGGGGTTTGCCCTGGGTCCCCCCAGCACATAGTGACGAGGACATGGGAGCTGGCTCTCCCCTGGGGGTGGCCTGGTCACTTTTGCTGTCTCCATGTAAGAGGCTGGGACAGGCATGTGAGGGCGGCGAGGGGACCCAGTAGGCACCTAGGCTCCTTGCGCCCTCCCTCCCATCTCCCCTACAGATGTTTGTCGGGCCTGGGGCTGAGGTCACTAGCCCAAGGTGAGGTGGCTGGTGGGTGACGGTGTTGGCTGCTGAGTGTGGGCCTCTTGTCTTATCACCCCTTCATGTGGTTACCCTGGAGCCCCTCCTTCCAGGTGCGAGGAGTAACCTGGCGCCTGGGGAGGAGTCTCATCGGTGAGCTGATTGCTGGCGCTCCAGCCTGCTGTCCGCCTGCCTCCCCACAGGGGCTGGAGCCCTCAGTGGGCCGGGCTGGCCGGGCCAGTGGACGAGCCCTGAGCAGGCTTGCAGGAGGTCTCCCTTCTCCCCGCTCCCCTGCCTAGCCTCCTAGCAACTATCTGCAGGGCGGGTGGGGAGGCTGGGAGGGCCCCTGCGTGTTTTGCAGCCGCTCCCTCTGACCTCCGCCTGCCCCCCTCTGCTGCCGGCCTGGCTTCCGGGCATCCTGTCTGTAGGAATCTGGCCCAGCTCCGGGCCCCTCTGGTTCTCTCTAGGGCTTTCCTGGAGTTTCTTCTCTAGATGACCCACCAGCCAGATAATGGCCCCACTTGTCGTGAGGCCCAGGGAGGGCCAGTGACTGGGCCTGGGTCACCCAGCATCAGCAGCACCACCATGCAACAGAGGCCCCCCGACGCCCTCGCGAGGCCCTGGCCACTAGACTGCTGGGGAGCGGGGAGCTGAAATAGAGGCGGCTCCTGAGGGAACCTGGCTGTGCCTCAGCCTCCAAGGCCGCTCACCTCATGCCAGGGCTGTCCATCCTCACCCTGGACCATGTTCTCTGCAGAGAGTGGTTCCAGCAGTCCTGCGGGGCATACGGGATGGTTCCTCCAACCCCCAGGCGCCTTCCTTCCCCAGTCGTGGGAACTGGTGGGCAGCCTCGAGTGGGCCTCTCTGTCACGGGGCCGCTCTCGTGGCTGGGCGCGGGAGCCTGTGGGGGGCTCTGTACGGGGGTGAAACGGGACAGTGCCGGCTGTGGCCTGGGTGGGGCCAGGCTGAGAGTGGCCTGGGTTTACACTCTCTCCCGAGGCCTTGGAGGCCCATTTTGTGAGCCTGCAGAGTCTGGGGGAGTGACACTGTGGGACCGGTGACAGTAGGACCACAGAGGGAGCAGTATGTGGCCAGGAGGGCAGTGGCTGCCCATTCAACAGAGGGGAAACTGAGACGGGAAAGACCAGGGCCTTGCATGGGAGGCCGTGGGAAAGCAGGCAGGGCCGCCCCTGCTGGGAAGCCCGCCTAGAAGCCGGTGACTCAGCCCCTCCCACTGACGGCCTTGCTGCCTTTGATCCCTGGCAGCACAGGGGGTCAGCCAGGCTACGGAGCTTGTCCCCATTCTGCAGCAGTGAACAACCAAGGTGTGAGGCGTGGCCTGGGCACCACGGTGACTCACGCCCAGCCCTCTGCCCGCTCACAGGCCCTCCCCACACCGCATCCCCTTCCTGGACGCCCCAAGGGCCCTGGGCTAGGTGGTGGGGGGAGTGGTGACCATTTCCTCACAGTCCGGCAAAGTCAGGCTTTGTTCCCCTTGACTTGACACAGGGTGGGCCGCTCTGGGCGTGGCCTGAGCGCTCTCGCCTCTCCTCCTCCTACAGGGGCAGAATCCTTTCGAGCTGGCCTTCTCCTTAGACCAGACCCATCACGGGGAGCCCGATTTCAGCCTGGAGCGCCCTGCCCGCCCTGGTGAGGCCCCGAGAGGGAGGGGGGCTTCCCTGGGAGCCGCGGGGGGCCACTGCCTGCTGGGCAGGGTGGGCCTCACCTCTGGGTCTCCCAGTACAGATATGCCCGCGAGCCAGCCCATCGACATCCCGGACGCCAAGAAGAGGGGCAAGAAGAAGAAGCGGTGCCGGGCCACCGACAGCTTCTCCGGCAGGTTCGAGGGTGAGTGGGCGCCAGCGGGGGCGGGGCAGGGAGCGAGATGGGGGCCGGCCTGGGGCAGCTCTCACGACCCCCTCCTGCTCCATAGACGTCTACCAGCTACAGGAGGACGTGCTCGGGGAGGGCGCCCACGCCCGAGTGCAGACCTGTGTCAATCTCATCACTAACCAGGAGTACGCGGTCAAGGTGAGCACCAGCGCCGGGGCGGTTCCCCTTACCTCCGCCCGCAGCGCCTGGGATCTGGCACTGGCGGAGGGTGGCAGGAGGAGGGGAGCTGGCATTCGAGCCCCTGGGCCAGCAGCTGGGGAAAACTAGTGTCTAAAAATGGCCTTAGGGCCAGTGAGTCAGGCCACCCCTGGGAATCTAGGTCAGACTGGCCTGAGCCCCCAAGGCTGGGCAGGAAGTGATCACGAGGGCCAGTTCCCTACCAGGCGGCCGGGGGCTTCAGTCAGAGCTGGTTCTTGTCTGCTGGGTCCCCTTGTGCCATTCCTCAGGAGTGACAAGTAGCTCTCCACGCTGGTCACAAGGATGAAAAGGCCACGCTTTACTTGGGGCCCGAGGAGGCTTGGCATATGGGGAATCCAGGGCAGGCCCAGAAGGACCTCTTGGGTGTTCCCGTGTGGCCCCTGACCCACGGTGTGGCCAAGTGGTCTGGAAAACTTGTGTTCCTTGACCAGGTAGTGTGACCCTGTGTTCTGAGAAACCTTCCTGTGATCCGTGGTGACCCTGCCTCTGGGTGGGGTGGGGTCCGAGGAGGCTGGGGGACCAGGTGCCCCGGGCACTGATGGTTCGCATCCAGCACTTTCTGCCCTGGGGGCTTTCCTGCTCGGGACCCTCCCAGCAGCCTGGCTTCCTATTACTGTTGGGCACTGCGCTTTCTCACACTGTTGTGTGACCTCCCGTAAACGTGGGGCCCACGTTTTTCCCCACAAAGGCGGGGTCCTAGCCAGACTGCCCAGAGCTCCTCCAGAGGAGGTGGCCGCTGGCGTTGTGTCAGGAGGCCCTGGAATCTGGTGGCTCTGCCTCTCGGCACAGGTGCTTGTCACTAGACAGGTGGCACGGCGTGGGCTGGGCCCTGGCAGCAAGTGGCCCTCACGCCTGCCTCCTGCAGGAATGAACTGGGGGGACACACCATGTTCCCCCCCAGGCTGGTCTGCCAGATGGGGAATTCTGGACCGGGTGGTGACCTCACCTGCCTCACTGGCCCAGGGAGAGGGGGCCAAAGATCCAGCCTGGGGAGAGGTCCCCAGTGGGTGCCAGGGCTGCCCGGAAAGAGCCAGCAGACATCTTCTTTCCTCACTTCTGGGAGCGAAGATGGCTGGGGCACCCTCCGGTCCTCAGAGCTCCTGGTTGCCTGAGGGGATTGGCTTCTTGAGGCTGAGTCCCAGGGGACTATGCCTGCTTGTTGGCAGGAGGGCCCATCTGGGCGGCCTGAGGGACCCCAGGCAGCTGCCCAGACAGTCGTGAAACCGGAGGTGAGACTTGGCACTGAGGCAGGCAGGGACAGCATGGCCGGTGGCCAGGCACCCCAAGGCCCCTCCAGTCCCCTGGGTGGGTTGGGAGCCCACCCAGTGGCCACCAGTGTCCTGGTCAGGGAGGGGAGGCTGCCGAGTCCCAGGGACCCTGACACCCTGAAGGGGCATTCTGTAGGAGTCCCAGACCCCAAACATGCCCGCGAGGCCTGCGGGGTCAGGAGTGGAGAAGGCGCAGCTCTTCCTTTTCTCTCTCTGGCTTGCTTGTGCGCCCGCTTCTGCCCCGGTGCCACATGGGAAACATGTTGCCCCTCCCTCCCCCCAAGCTGGTGGTGACGCCATAGTTCTGACTACGGGCGAATTCTGGGTCCCAGAAGAACAACTCAGCTTCTTAGAACTTAAGATTTAAGAGCTAACGGGGTCCTAGGCATGGCACAGGGTGAATTTCGGGTAGGGGCCCTGTGGGCCTTGGAAGGTCTGGCTGACGCAGCTGCTCTGGCTCCTGCCCCACCCCCTTCCAGATCATCGAGAAGCAGCCGGGCCACATTCGGAGTCGGGTTTTCCGGGAGGTGGAGACACTGTACCAGTGCCAGGGACACAGGTAATGTGACCCACCTCGCCACACACTGGGCTCAGATCCAGCTCTCCGTGGATGAATGGGCCTGAATAGCTCGTCGTCCCCAGCAAGCATTACAGGAGTGTCCAGTGTGTCCCTACGGGCAGGGTCTCCTGTGGGCAGGAAGGGGTGGGGAAGGGTCGGTGCACAGGGGCATCAGGAAGCCTTTCTTCTCTCCTGCCTCTCCAACTCCCTGTGCCCCAGGAACGTTCTAGAGCTGATAGAGTTCTTTGAGGAGGAGGATCGCTTCTACCTGGTGTTTGAGAAGATGCGGGGCGGTACGTGGGTCCTGGGAGACCCTTCCCGCTGGGTTGTAATGGGCTGTGGGTGAGCCACCCGGCAGGACTTCTCAGAGCTGCCCCTCCTGTGCATGGCTTGTGGGGTCTGAACTTGCTGTCCAGGCTTTGGGCCCCAGGAGGCCAGAGTCAGAGTGTCCCTGTGGGGGGGAAGTGGGAGCTGCTGGGCAGTGGCCTGGAGGCGCCCAGGTGACCGTGTGCGCTCTTCCTCCACTGCGGCCTGGCCCCAGGCTCCATCCTGAGCCACATCCACAAGCGGCGGCACTTCAACGAGCTGGAGGCCAGCGTGGTGGTGCAGGACGTGGCCAGTGCCCTGGACTTCCTGCACAACAAAGGTGTGTGGGGTGGTCCCCAGGGGCGGCCCGCCTGGCGCCCGCTCTACCTGCGCCGGGACTCCCGGAAAATGCTCCCGCGGACTCGCCCTGGTTCTCTCTGCAGGCATCGCCCACAGGGACCTAAAGCCAGAAAACATCCTGTGCGAGCACCCCAACCAGGTGAGGGCGCTGGGGAGCGGGCCCCTGCGGCCGGGGCGGGGGTGGGCCGGGACCCCCGCCTCAGGGCCTCTGTCCACCCTTCGCAGGTCTCCCCCGTCAAGATCTGCGACTTCGACCTGGGCAGCGGCATCAAACTCAACGGGGACTGCTCCCCCATCTCCACTCCGGAGCTGCTCACCCCGGTGAGCCGCGGGCGCGCCCAGACCCGCTCCGGGGCTGCGGTTGCGTAACCTCGAGGTGCTGCCGGCCCAGCGCCGCTGAGCTGGGGCTTTTTGCCTAGCAACAGCCGCTGATTGGCCCCGCGGAAGGGGGCGGGGCGGGGCTGGCTCCCGGCCGCTGATTGGGTGGTGGGGCGGGGCGAGCACCTGCCACCTGTTGATTGGGTGGAGGGGCGGGGCGGGCGTCCTGGCCCGCCTCTGATTGGCCAGGCCGGGGGCGGGCAAGGCGTTGGGCGCCGCGGCCCCGGTGACCCTGCGGCGGGGCCCTCACGTGACGCCGGAAAGTCCCGGGCCTGCGCCGCCGCCCATCCCCCTCGCGGGCTCCTGACGCCCGGTCCCGCCTGCAGTGCGGCTCGGCGGAGTACATGGCCCCCGAGGTGGTGGAGGCCTTCAGTGAGGAAGCCAGCATCTACGACAAGCGCTGCGACCTCTGGAGCCTGGGGGTCATCCTCTACATCCTGCTCAGCGGCTACCCGCCCTTTGTGGGCCACTGCGGCAGCGACTGCGGCTGGGACCGCGGCGAGGCCTGCCCGGCCTGCCAGGTGCGCGGGGGCCCTGCAACCGCCCCCTGCGCCTCGCGGGGGACCCCGCACCTGCCCTGTGCGCCCCCTGCGCCCCGCGGGGACCCCACACCTGCCCCGTGCACCCTGTGCGCCCCCTGCACCCCGCGGGGACCCCGCAGCCGCCCCGTGCGCCCTGTGCGCCCCATTCACCCCATGGGGGCCCCACACCCGCCGCACCCCGCGGTGTGTCCAGATCGTGGGTTAGGCCGTTTGGTGTCCGGGAGCCCCGCCAGAGCTCACCACTAAGCCGGCGGCGAGCCCAACTCTGGGTTCCGGCGGCCAACCCTTTGCTCCCTTGCTCCCCTGCCCCGCAGAACATGCTGTTTGAGAGCATCCAGGAGGGCAAGTATGAGTTTCCCGAGAAGGACTGGGCTCACATCTCCTTTGCTGCCAAAGACCTCATCTCAAAGCTGCTTGTCCGCGATGCCAAGCAGAGGCTGAGCGCCGCCCAGGTTCTGCAGCACCCTTGGGTGCAGGGGGTGAGTGAGCCCCACGAGGGCCTCCTGGTCCACACGGCCTCTGGGGGCCTGGGGAGTGACTTGGGGTGGGTGTCTGGGAGCCTTGGGGAGCCGCAGTGGCTCCCGCCCACCACGTGGGTCTGGGGCTCTGTCCAGCGGCGGGGCTTGGGCACAGCAGGGAGATGGAGCAGTTGCCACCAGCCAGGGCTTGGGATTGCCGGTGCCACTCGGTGAAATGCTGGGCCTCATGCCCCAGAAGCACCGGGGCCCTTTCTGGCCTGGCCCACCTGCCCGGAGCAGCAAGCCAAGGTCGTTCAGGGGTCGGGCAGGCCACAGGCCTCTGGCAGAGCCTGCCAGCCCCCAGCCCAGCTCCCTGTCCCCACGCAGCTGGGGAGAGCCTGCTGGTTTTCCGGCCCGTGGTCAGCGAGCCTGGCTGCCGGTCCAGGGCAAGGAGGGCACAAGGGCAAGGGTCTTAACCAGAAATAGAAGTTGCACTGGGACTCCGGGAGCCAAGCTTGGGGCTCTCATCTCAAGACAAGCCGCTGGAGGGGCACCCGTGCCCTTCTGGGACATCAGGAGACCCGGGAGTGGACACGGGAGGGGGCGGGGAGCAGGTCCCGTGGGCCACTGCTGGACTCCCGCCCCCTCCCGCTCGCCTTGGCCTGGCTCAGTTCCCGAAGATGCGCCCCTTGACCCCTGGCCCCAGCCAGCTGGGCGCAGGGGTGCCGCTGGGCGCTGCTCCTGAGTCCCGGTCGTCCTGTCCTCAACAGTGTGCTCCGGAGAACACTCTGCCCACACCCATGGTCCTGCAGAGGTGAGGCTGCGGGGGGCCCCGAGTGGGGGCACTGAGTGGGGGGTGGTTAAGGTTGGGCGTTCAAGAAAGACAGGAAGTTCTCTGTAAGTGGGTGGGCTGGGGAGCCATCCGAGTGCCGCTGGTGACGGTGACGGATGGAGCCTCGGTGGGAGGCTGCAGCCCCACCCCCAGGATACTGCCCAGGGGATCAGGGCCTGCCTGGCAGCCCCCCGCCGACCTCCGTGACCGCCCCCTCCCCAGGAACAGCTGTGCCAAAGAGCTCACGTCGTTTGCGGCCGAGGCTATCGCGGTGAACCGGCAGCTGGCCCAGCGAGAGGAGGACGCGGCGGCGGAGGAGGGGCAGGGCCCGCCGGTGCTCATCCGCGCGGTCTCCCGCTGCCTGCGGCTGTCCCCGCCCGCACAGAGCAAGCTGGCCCAGCGGCGGCAGCGCGCCAGCCTGTCCGCGGCCCCCGTGGTCCTGGTGGGCGACCACGCGTGACCCCTCTCCCCTGTACATAGGTCACTCCCGCCCCCCCCCCCACTGCCCTATCAAATCTGAAGAGGTTTTTTTAAGCTGTTTCCAGCCGGTGACCGCCAGGCTGCCCTCCCCTGGCTGGGCTCCGAGGCGCTGAGCTCAGTCGGGGGGTCTTTTTATATGAGGTTTTTGCTGTTGGGTTTTTTTCTCCTTTTTTCTGCCCCACCCCCATCTCTCCATCCCTTTAAAGGTGTTAAAAGCAAAGCAGGGCCTGGGAGAGGAGAGGGGAGGCTGCGTGTGGCTGGGCTTGCTGGTCCCTGCTGCCCCGGCCCCGAGGCTCGCCCGTACTGTGAAAGGTCCCTGCCCGCCCGCCCCGCCGCGACTCAGGAGAGGAGGGCGATGATCGTCGTCTTCCAGAGCTGGGGGCCCAGGAATGCGCCCCTCCCCAGCCCACACAGTATTTCAGGGACGGGCCCGCCCCACACCTCCCCCCAGTGACCCAGCAGCTCTTTCCCCCTCACCCCAGAGACACCCTGGTGGCTGGGTGGGGCGGGGTTTCTCAGGTCTCCCTTGTAGCGGGAGGGGGCCTGGGTACGGGCAGGTGGGCTCCACGGCTGCCCGCTGTGCACCCCCCCCCCGCCTCGGACTGACAATCGGGGCTCTCTCAAACCTGGACCTTAAGCTGCAGCTGACCTCGGGTGGGGGGTGCACCCGCTGCCCCCCCAGGATGGCGGTGCCGGAGGAAGTAGGAGGGGCTGGACAGGCGCCCGTCAGCCAACGTGGGGGTCCCAGAGACCCCCACCCTGGGCACCCGAGTGCCCCTTCTCAGGGCTCAGTCTGACCACGGCCACGTCCCGCCCCTTGTCGCCCTTGGGGTCTGGTGTGGAAGCTCTATCAGCCCCCTTCCTCCTCAGAGCCAGGGCCCACCCGGGGTCCTGCTGAAGCTGCCCCACCCCCAAGGGCAGCGTTTCGACCCACCCACCTTCAGGAAACCGGCCGCTGCTGCCACCGCCGCGGCGTCCTCCCAGGCACCAGGAATCACGGTGCCTGCCTCTGCCCACCTTGGCGGGCACTGGGCTCATACGTTGGCCTGCCAGGCCTGGGGAGACTGATGCCCCTCCTCGTCCTCGGGAAACACTATGCAATACAGGCCCCCCTTCTCTACGCACACGCGCTCCTGACCGCCAGGGAGGGCCCCCTGCGGTCCCCAGCCCGGGCAGCGTGGCCTGGCGTCTGGCCTGGTCTCCACAGCGGCCCAGGGCCTGGAAAACCCTCCGGCTTCTCGTTTGTCCTATTCTGTTAATTTTTCAAAGACAGTTGACTTCCTTCCCTGTTCTCGAATACTTGAATGTTGGGGGGCTTCATGGGTGGTGGGGCCCAGATGCCCTTTCTGTGGCAGTCTCCCGTGGCTGGTGGGGACTGCCGCCCCTCCGGCCCCCCCGCCCGCCCGGATCTGTGGACTGGCCTTTCCAAAGACCCCAGGGCGTGGGAGGCCGCCCCACCCCATTTCTTGCCCACCAGTGATCCTACATTTTGCAACTGGGGATTCTGCCTTTTTGTAGAAAACAAACAGGCCCCCGCCCGCCACAGGCGCCTTGGCCGTTTTACTCTAGAAAGCCGAGCCGTGAGGAGCTTTGTTCCTTCTTCCCAAAGGTGGGACAGCCACTTCTCTGCCCGCCACATGTCACACAGACCGTGGGAGTCGAGGGGCTGTCAGAACCGTTACTGTGAATGCGCCTGGCCCCCAGGCCGCCCCACACTGGGGGAGGGGAACGGCCACGTTCAATGTTAAGATGTGTAAAAAAGACAAAAAAAAGTTTTTTTAAAAGTGGGGGGACATCCAAGCACTTTAAGCGCCGCACCGGGTGAACTGGTAACAGCTCATCTTCCTGACACCAACTGTCAATGCCGGAATTTTGTATTGTTTTATAAGGATTTAATAAAAGTCGTAAAAACTTGTGTCCTCGTCCTGGTTTTCTGTTTTGTAACAAGTGGCCTCCAACCATTTCTTGTCCCTGGTGAGGCTGTGAGTCGGGGGTGGGGACAGGTGCAGCGGGGCTTGGCTGGTGGCTGGTGGGGGTGGCGGGCCCCCTGCTGGTAGGCTGGGCTGGTGGCTGGGAGGGTGGGGGGCCTGGGCCCCCTACAGGGGGGGTGCGCCCTGAGCGGTCTCCCAACGTGCTGGATGCCTCCTCCTCCGGCCCCCACGGAACCGAAGTGGAAGCTGCTGGCGGCCTGGCCTTGGACCCTGGCCCTCACCTCCCCACATCCCTGCCACCGGCCTGCAGATCTGAGCGTGGGGAGGAGGAAGGGAGCGCTTCTGGCAGTGCCACCGACTTGCAAGGCCACAACCCAAAAAAAAGTTGGGTTTTGAAAAAAGTCCTACAAACCTGGCCAGACTGTCTTCCGTGCAGGCCCAGGATAGCCCAGGGCTGACTTCGCATCCTGGCGGGGAGGGAGCGGATCAGGGAGGGCTACCTGGAGGCGGGAGCCAGTGGGGTGGGGGAGGGGCGGTGACATCTGGCCCCTGAGGGTGTCACCGGCTGCTTCAGCTTCCCTGTCTGACCAGCAGGGATCGGAGATGGGCCTCAGCAGGGAGGCGTGAGCAGGTGGCAGGTGCCTGAGCTGCCCAGCCGCCTACATTCTGCGTGAACTTCTGGGCCATCTGCGTGGGCTCAAGCCCTGTCCCGGGGGCAGCAGCGTGAAGGTGCCTTGCTCCCGCTGCCGGCCGAGGGACGCTCACTCGCGCGTGGGGAACACGTGTATCTGTTCACCGGTCCACGGGTCCCTAGCTTGTCCCCACGTTTTTGGGTGCCGTGAGCTCTGCTGCGGTGAGCAGTCGCCACTGTCCCTGCATGGACGGATGCCGCTGACGGGGGCAGGGCACAGGCCCACCTGGATGTCATTTCTGGAAGGACCATCTTGTCACTGTGTGGAGTGTGGACGCAGCCCAAAGGGCCCAGTGAGCTGTTGTCTCCTGCAAGCCAGCCCAGGGAAGGGTGACAGGCCCGGGCAGGGGGCGCCGGGAGGCCAGAGAGAGAACCAACAGCGACCTGCGTCAGTAGGGGACCCAGGCGCTCCTGGAGTCCCAGGATGTGGCACAGGGGAGAGGGGGCGCTCTCTGGGCTGGTGACAGGCACAGACCCGAGGATCTCCTGGGCAGGAGGGGCCCCGTCCTCCCTGGGAGGCGAAGCTCAGCCAGGAGCACACCCTACTTGGCACGCAGAAGGGAAAACCCAACCCCCGCCCCCAGCATTTGTCCAGCTGCCCCTAGAGGCGTCTCTGGAGACCCCACAGCTACCCTGCTCCCTCCAGGACCCCCACCCCCACCGCCAAGAGCCCCCTCCATCCCTTGGGTCCCTCCCCTATCCCTTGCCCAGCCCAGCATGTGCATGCGTGCGCACCGAGCCCTGGGGGCCACGTGCCAAGCCAAGCTCCTGTCCTCCCAGGTGGCACTGAGCCCCGCCTGGACCTGCCAGGCCCCACGCTGACCTCTCCCTGTCTCCTCCCGACCCGCAGAGCCTGCATCAGGGACGGCTGGATCTTGCAGTTTCCTCTCGGCGGATCCTGCCCCTTCCACCTCTCCCTCCTCCAGGAGCGGCAAGAAAGTCCGGAGCAGGAGGGACTGGGAGCCTTTCCCAGGCTGGTGACGCCCTGGCCCCATGTCCACCTGGGTCAACGGAGAGGCTGGCTTGGGGCTCACCCCCTGCCCCGGAGCCGTCCAGCCTTGGGCACCCCGGCTGATGCGGGCAGGCGGGCGCTTGCGGACGGGACCGGGACCAAAGCACCCTGGAAATCTCGTCCGCGACGCGGGTCTGCGCCCTGCACCCCTTTGACAAGGCAGGGACCCAAGCTGATGTTTGGCGTGGATGATGGGGAAACGGGCCGGCATACGGAAGCCGTATTATCCTCAGCCCTGCAGAGCTGAGACTTTTTAAAAATAAATTTTATTAAAAAGTAATAATAAAGTAGGGTCTCCTGGGTGGCTCGGTAGGCTGAGCATGTGACTCTTGATTTTGGCTCAGGTCCTGATCTCAGGGTCGTGAGATGGAGCCCTGGGCAGGACAAGGGCTCTGCCCCTCCCGTCTGCCCCTCCCCCACGCACGTGTGCACCCTTGCTCACTCCCTCTCAAATAAATAAATAAACAAATAAAGTAGCAACGCACCCACAGACAGACAGGGGCCCTGTGGGTGTTGGAGCCCGGGCTGGGGCACGATGGCTGACATCTCCTCGTCATCGTGGGACGGCATTTCCTCTTGGGGTGACAGAACTTTCTGGAGCGAGACGGCAGCGATGGTTACACGAACAGTGACTACTACATGCCGCTGGTGTGTGCTGTGATCTGCGCCTCGATTCAAGTTAAAAGGCGACCAGAGCGCGTCTGTGTAGGACGCGCCAGTGTTCGGGTAACGCACCGAGGGCTAATTTATTACCCCAAGGCAGGGGACGAGGCTGCACAGACGTGCACCGCCCCCCAGGACTGGGGCCTTCTGCAGGGTTTGCTCCTGTCTCTCCCCCGTCCCCACGGCAAGCTCTCCCGTAGGCCACCCCAGCCCCAGGCCCTCTTTACCGGTGCTGCCTCCAGAGGGAACGCTTGCCTGTCCCAGGTTCCGACTCAGCCATGAGGGAAGAGTGCTGGGGTCAAGTCAGACGGGCATTTCCCTCCTCCCCACACAGGGTCTGGGATTCGCGGCAACCTCGGGAAGATGCTTCAGGGTTTCTGTCCTGCCCGTTATTTCCCCCATGTGGACTCAGTTTCCCCACGTGGAGTAGGACAACACCGACACCGCTTCCCTCTTGTGACCCCCTGTGAGGCAGCAGGAGGCAGGGACCCCAGTAGGTCAGGGAGACAGACAGCTTGCCCGGCCCAGGACACAGAGGCACAGAGACGCAAGAGGAGCAGGGCGGCCCCAGCATCGTGTCCACTCGTGCGAGGTGGCCCCTGAGGGTGTCAGGGCCACAGAAGCTTGTGGGACCAAGCCCCGGTTGCGCTGATCCGAGCCCCCCAACTCAGTGACTCAGCCCTACCCAGGCTCTGGTCCTGCAGGGTCGCCCACCTTGAGCCAGGCGCGCAGGGCGAGAAACCGGCTCCTGACCGCTCCAATGGGAGAGCCAGGACTGAGGGGAGGGGACACGGGCCTCTCCCGGGCTTGGAATCAGGGGAGTCCCCACACTGCGTCCCCGGGGACAGTCCCTTGTGCTGGGAATCTGTAGCTGGTCCCCCCCCACCGCCCGTTGGTAACATTTTGCAAAACCCTGTTACAAAGTCAGGCCCAGGACACCGGCATCCCTGCAGTCCAGCCCAGTGGAGAGTGGGGTAGGGGTGTCATAGGCCCAGGGGAGGGGCGTCCCTGTCTCCCACACTTTTCCCTCCGCGGGTGCAGTTCACACCCGTGGTGCCCAGTGGCCCCGGGGGGGTGTCTCTGGGACCCCCACCCTGGAGTGAGGCAAGGAGAGCGCCTCGCCCTGCATTTGGGGCTGGAGCGGGGTACTGGGGGCACCGCCAGCGGGAAAGGGGGCGATGGGGAAACTGGGGCACAGAGCGGTTGCGTGCCCGGCCCACGCACGGAGAAGTGGGGTACGTGGCCGGAGCCGTGGGACTATGAGGGGCGGCCGCTTCGTTCCTGGCCTCTCAGAACACTGTCCCCGCCTGCCTGTCCGTCTGTCCTTCCCTCCTGACCCCCTCCCTCCCTCTGCCTTTCTTTCTGGAATAAAAGCACGTATTTGCTGGAGATCCAGAACTATTTACTTCCCAGAAGGAAAACCCATAAAGGACATTTGTGCTGTGGGTCTTGAAAAATTCACCAGCGAATGAAAGGTTTCTATGCATGGCGTGTGTGCTGGGGGTGGCGATGACGATGTCCGGAGAATTGTAGGGGGGCTTCGGAGGGTCCTGTGAGTCGGGGGGATCCCTCTGGGTCGGGGGGATCCCGGCCCCTCCGTGGGCCTGGATACAAGGCTCGGGAGTGGGGAGAAATGGACCTGGAGGCCTGGGTTTCTCCGTGGGGACGGCAGGGACCATCTGGGAGGGGAAGGGAGGCAAGGGAGGCCAGGAAGTGGAGGAGGCTGGCGGCCCACACAGGGTCCCCTCTGTCCCCACTTAGCCCGACGGGCACAACCCACCCTGTGAGGTTTCTCAGGAGAGCTGAGGAGGGCTGGGCTTTGCAGCTGGGTCCGTCGGGGGTTCCAGACCAGACTGGGTGCCCACAGAGGCGTGGCAAGGTTGGGACGGCATCACTGCCCATTCTGCTGTGGGGATGTCGTACAAAACCAGGACAGGGGAGAGGGGCGAGCTCCGTGGGGGGTTGCCTGACAAAGAATCCCAAACTCATCAGCTTAATGCAACCGTTATGTTCTACTCCTGCTTCCGTAGACCAGGAATTTGGGGAGGGTTCAGCGGGATGGTTTGTCCAGGGATGGACCCGAGCCCACGACACGCAGGGAGGGGACCAGACACAGGAGGCCACACGGGTGTGAGTCCACGCGTGTGACACGTCCAGACCAGGCTCCTCCACCACCGGGAAGGGACTTGTGGGGGCCGGGGGATGTGTGGGGCTGGGGAGCAAGGGCTCTGGGGAAAGGGATTCCCAGCAGGTGATGGAGGGTTCTGGAATTAGGTAGTAGTGACGGTTGCACAACTCGGCAAACATACTGACAACTGAGCGAGTGGACCTGAGGACACGGGTCAGCGAGAGCGGCCAGACCCAGAGGGACCCGTCCCGCAGGACCCCACTCCCAGGAGGGCCCCAGAGGAGTCCTGTCCACGAAGACAGAGAGAAGTGGGTGGGACCGGGGGGTGGGGCAAGAGTGGGGAGTCCGTGCTTCGTGGGGACGGAGTCTCCGTGTGGGGGATGGAAAGTTCTGGAGACGGAGGGCGGGCCTGTGAGTGCTTCCCACCACGGAGCTGTGCGCGCAGACGGTCGAGGTGGTGCATTCATGCTATGTGCATTTTTATCATAGT